GAACGCCCTGAAAAGAGCTCACATCTTTTTGACTTCAAACATATCATAGAGACAAGCCTTAACGAAAAAATTTAATTATGGAAATATCAGATCATTTGATCTGTTCATCTCTTGAAATAAGAACATCTAATGTACTGAACAGTTGAAATTATATTTTCTATTTAATGAAATCAAAAAGAATACTTTTGAAATGTCAACTTTATCATAGACAAATAATCATCGTTCATCATCATCTCGTCGTTCTCATTCATTATCATTTCGTCGCCAACGTAATTATCAACAAATATTATTAAATCATCATAATAATCTTAATCCAGAACAAAAACGTCATACATATTATCCATGTGATCATGATCGTTCAATACCATGTAATGAACAATGTTATTGTGTACGATCTGGTAATTTCTGTGAAAAATATTGTTCATGTTCATCAACAAAATGTGATAATCGTTTTCCTGGTTGTCGTTGTCGTTCATCATGTACAACAAAACAATGTTCATGTTATGCAGCAGCACGTGAATGTGATCCAGATTTATGTACACAATGTGGTGCTGATGATTTTGGAAATATTAATAATGAATTAATAACAAATTCAACATGTTCATGTCATAACGTTGCTATACAACGTAGTTTACATAAACCTTTACTATTAGCTGAATCAGATGTTGCTGGTTGGGGAATATTTATACAAGTTAATATTCAACGAAATGAATTTATTGCTGAATATTGTGGAGAAATTGTAGAAAGAAAAAAATTGATAAAAAATAAGTTTCTGTTGTTTTGTTTATTTTATTTTAGGTCACACAAGACGAAGGTGAATTACGTGGACGAATGTATGATACAATAGGTACAAGTTTTTTATTTGATCTCAATGAAGAATATATGGTTGATGCAACACGTCGTGGAAATAAAATACGTTTTGCTAATCATTCAATAAATCCAAATTGTTATGCCAAAGTTATTCGAGTTAATGGTGATCATAGAATTGGAATTTATTCAAAACGTTCTATATCGGCAGGAGAAGAATTATTTTTTGATTATCGTTATGGAGCAAATCATCATTTACGTTTTGTTGGTGTAGAAAAAAATACACCAGGAGATCAAATTGATATATAATTGCTGTGATTGTTGTGAATATGAGTAATGTCTCAGGAAGGTTGTCTTGGTTTTTTTGGTTTATAATTATTTGTATTCATTAATATAGGTTAGATTTTGTCTCGTATAATATTTGTTGTTTTGTATGTGTTTGTGTGTGCTTGAGTGTATAATCTTTTCTTTTTTGGTCCGTTTATAATTAATAGAACATGTTTATGATTCTGTGAATGTAAATGATGGGCACAATAAAATTTGTTTTTAGATAAATATAATAAGAAAAAAAAATGTATTTGATTAGGTCAGATACGATCATTTTGCATGATTAACCGGTTATTCCCCAATAGTGATTCTAGAAGAATCATTGATAAAAAAAAAGCTGTCAGCGTAATCCCTGTGGGATGATAAAGTGAAATACAATGCACTTGCTGTTGCTAATCACAGTGAGATTATTTTGGTTTATCTATTTTGTGCCATATTTTTTCGCCATCCTTTTAGTTAATTCTTAAGAAATGCTATAAGGAAGTAGTTCATCTATGCTATAAAGAAACGTAATTGATATACGGTCTGTAATCGTATATCAATATTTACCACGGCTTGTCTATGAAGGCGGAGGGGAGGAAGCGGGTGAAAATTTCTACCCTATATACTTTAACACCCCTTTTAGATCATGTTTCATAATAATCTAATAGAGTAAGCACCTTTATAATATGGTACTGGTATGGTCAGATCCATGAGGTATTCTGATGTTTGGGCAGAGTGATTTAGGTTACTACAGTGCTCATGTGGTAGAAAATAGGAATTGAACGAATTCTTGTGGGACAGTATTGATTGCAAAAAAAGGAACTTATATCTCATAGCATTGGAGTCATTGAAAAAGAAACAAGTGAAATACATGTACTTTTGACATATATTCTCAAATAAACACCTTCTTTTGTTCTTTGAAAAAACATATAACATTAACTTTATTGTTGATTATCTTCTATATATTCAATAATGAAAACACGGCTCATTTTGAGTCCTATTATCTACAATTCATCAAGTTAACATGAAAAACTTAACTATTAGACCTGTTCGTGAATTTATATTACACAACAAGCCTTGAAGATCCCTACTTCCTAAAATTAGAATATTTTGTTGAAATAATTATCGATTTTATAAGTCCGATAGTTTGAAGGCGGAGCAATGAAATGAAATGTTCTTTTTTTTTTACTAATTGATAGCTCATGAGGTTTACTGTAAAAGACATTTTAAAAACTTTTAAATTCTATGTGTCGTTCAGCTTTTATAATCGAACAAAAAATGGTCACTTCAACGGTCAGTCAGTAGAGGGGTGGTAAACAGATACTCTAACACTAGTAAAACATTTTGTACCTTTGCTTTTAGAGTTTAACATGTAAGTGTCTTTAATGCACGACATTAGTAAAAACTTTTATTTAATTAAAACTTGAATATGTCTTTAGCAATTCAATCAATTTATATGTTTCTTTTATTAATTGATTTTATACTCATCACAATTTTATTCAATATATTTCAGATAAAATCTCTGAATATTAGAATACAAATTATTCTATTAGTGGTCAAATATTAATCATCGACATTCATGAAATGAAAGTGGCCAGTCAAATTCAACAACGAAACGCTAAATAAATATGTTATTAAAGAGTTCTCTCAATACTTTTATTGATGTAAGATTGATGCAAATCGCGTGCATTCTGAATTTTTTTGCGATTATGACACAAGAAAAATTCATCTAAGTTCATATTAGTAATGAAAGTATATCATTATCAGATGTTCTCATGACTTATCAAGTGTGTTTCATAGCATACTGAGTCATGGTGAAGTTCAATAAATAATTCAACACAATGAAACTTCTTGTGGTTTTGACAATAAATTACATCAATTTCTAAGTAACATTCTTTCTATTATGAAAGATGGAAAAAAGATGGTTCATTTCTATAAGCGTCATGTATCGTTAATGAAAAATAAAACAATTTCTGAGAAAATTCTATATAATATCTTTTTTCAAATATTATTTTCACACAATGAATTACATGTTTCAGTTCAGTGTACTCATATTGAACAGTAATTATGAATGAAATTAGACAAAAATAAAACTTCACAAACAAATTATAGAAAGCCAATGGAGATCGCGCCAATCATTCAAAAGTTATACGCAGTTATATTTTTGGCGAAATTTTGAAAAACTCTTTAGATGTTGTTAAGTCTATATAACTGTCTATCAAATAAAATATACTTTCATTTCTTAATCATGAATTTATTGGCATTCAATTTTTATAAATCTGTTAATTTAGTACCATTTTTTCTATTGGTTAATGAACTGGAGACATCTAGATAGTATGTACAACAATGGATAGATGATCTCTATCAGATGTTGATGATCTCTCGTATTATTTTTAGTACTCATATATATATATATATACATCTGTACTGTACGTACAAAAATAGTGTAAATATATAATAAATTAAAAATGGAACAATTTGATTTTACTAAACCGACACCATTTTATGATATAGTTCTTAATGTCGAAGATAAAAAATTATATTGTAATCGTGCATTACTTGCTATATGGTCACCTGTATTTGAAACAATGTTTAAATCAAATTTTCGTGAACGTGATTCAATGGAAATAAATTTACCAGGTAAATCATTTGATGATATTAAAGAATTACTTGCTGTTATTTATCCACCAAATCGACCAATTGTTGCAACAAATGTTCAACGTTTACTTGAATTATCTGATGTAAATAAAAATTTAACAACATATTTGAAAAAATTTATCTATTTGTTTTCAGGAATATCAAATGATTGAATTAACAAAACGTTGTCAAGCTTATTTAATGCAACAACGTGGTACTATTGATTCATTATTATTAGCACAAAAATACAACTTTGATGATGTTATACGTCGTTGTGCTGATCATTTAAAACATAATCTTAATATAAATCTTTTACCTAATTGTGGTAATGGTGATCCACGTCTAAATGAATTATCATTAAAAACAATTAATTTATTATTAGTTTCACGTGTTAAACATTTAGAAACAGTACTTGATTCATATAAACGTAAAGTAACAACAGCAAATGAAAAATTTCGTCATATAAAAGATTTACCAGGTTATAATGATGATTGTGATCATTGTGCGAGACATGAAACACATACAGTCGATTGTTATGATTGTATGAGAATGGTACGAACAATTATCAAAAAATTAAGTGAAGAAGGTTTCGAAGAAACAGATTAATATTAAAAGTATGATTTCTTTTCTTTTCTTTTTCTTGTGTTTTTCTAGTCACCAAATGTTTTATTCGTGAGCTTTTGCTCTTTGTTTGCTGTGTATATGAATTTATATTTTTGCGGTGCTACATCTGATTGTTACTGAATCATTTGTTCTTTTTTTTTCTTCTTTTCAAAATAAATAATAGTCATATGTATACTTAATTTGATTTATATTGTATATGAATAGAAACAGAAATATGAAAATGTCTTTTTTATTCCATTATAATATCGATGTATATGAAAAAGAATAACATATTTAGTTGAATATGAGAAAAAAAATCTTGGCAAATTCAATCTATTAACAATAGATATGATGAATAAATCGTTGATGTTATAATTATTTCAAAAAACGGAGAATAGTATTTACTGAAAATAATCAATCTCTCAAATCTAATACAACAGGTAAAGATTTTATCTCGTCTTATATATTTGATGTAACTATTGATAGCTTAGCTTTGATACTTGTACTACTTAACAGACAGAAGAATCCTGGAAAATCTTTTTTTTTTCTCTTGAAAATCAGTATATATAGATAATAAAACGATCTATTATTCAATTTAATCTTCTAATTTTTCGATTTATTAAAGTTCTATTCGTTTATTGCAGATGACTAACGATACAACCGTTGATCCTCTTGACTTCGCTTCATCTCTTGATGATCGTATTATTCAAAATGGTCAACTTGAAGGTCGTCAATATGGTTATCAGCGTGGTTTTCGACAAGGTTTTTCTCGTGGTCTTGATTATGCTCTCGAAAACCATCGTGAAATAGCAATCATAGCTGCTCATTGCGAACACTTACAACAAAAACTTCTTTCAACAAATGATTCTGATCCTCGACAAAAACGTTTATTAAATGGTATTATTGAATCATGTCGTGAATTTCGAACACTATTACCAGATAAACCACGATATGCTGAACTACTTGCATCTATACGAGCTCGACATCAACATTTAACTGGAACGAATAATAATAATAATAATAATACAACAGAAACATCAAATTTAACGTTTTAGTTAATTAATTATTCATTTAAATTTAAAAATGAATGAAAATTAACAGATTAATAAAAAATCTTTTTAAACATTTTATTTTTCAAAAAAAGAAAATATAGTTTAAGTTATTCAGCCAACATATGTCCTCATGAATTGTTTTTTGTGTAGAGCGATTGTCCATGATTTTCTTTGTGTTTCTATCATGTCTCAAACGAGTTGTTTTAACCTAAAGACATAAAATCAGAATCGAAAAAAAAAAACATCACATTAAAAACTATAGAACAAAATTCTTATATTTTACTTGCAGTCATTAAGAACGACAAACAGCGGAACAAATCCTGACAATCATGTACTACTGAACAGTTTAATCGAAGACATTTGTGGATCATACAATTGACTTTTCAATCGTGCTAATCGATGTTTTGTAATAGAATATGTTTAAGCAGCATTTGCTTTAAACAAACTTTTAAAAAGAGGACGCTGGTCCTTCATATTTTTCTTTCTTTCGTATTCAAAACGATAGACATTATTCTATTAGACATACTTCAGTTATGCTCTATTGCACATTCCTAATAATAAAAACAGTGATCAAAAAGAAAAAAGCACATGTTATTAGATTGTTTCTAGCTTTTTACTATATTAATATTAGAATATATGATCAATATACTCTTTTCAATAAAAAAAAAAAAGCTGTAAGTGCAATTCTTACGGGATTAAAATGTGAAACACGATGTAGCTTCTGGGGTTAATTACAGGCAGATTGATTTAGTATGTGTATTGTGAAATAACTTTTTTTTCACCATATGTTTACTTGATCCTCTAGAAATGCAATAAGAAACTAGTTCATATATTATAACGAAACATTATTGATATACACTGTTTTGATCATATATCAACAGCATCTGTTACGGTCTGTGAGCGAAAATCTAAATTTTTATTCCGATGCTTCAACACTTCTTTTAGATCGTGTTTCACCAAATTTAAAATAAAAATGAACTTACTGTATCTTAAAAATATAATGAACATTCATTTGTTGGTACTGATGGTATTTCATTGATATCTGATCAATAAGTAATTAGAATTTTTGATTTTATGTATGCCTCAAATATTATTAATCACATCGACTCAAACAATATTCCACTCATATGTCTACTCTTATAAAGTTGATTATTTGAAATTTTATATATATATATAGCCTACGTGGCAAATTAGTCATATCATTCATTTCATATTTGCTCAATTTTAAATAGTATGATACTAATTGGAAGTCGCGCTGTTTTTTTTTAAATTCAGAAAATCGAAATGCACTTTAAATTGACGTCATTTGTTGTATATTAATAATTTTTGTTGTGCGTAATCTCTATTTATTTTTATCTCTCTATGATTTGTACATTAAGTTTATCTTGATACATTTACGCTAAAAATAGTAAAATAATTTTTGAAATATTCACTTAGATCTAATCAATATGTTCGAAAAGAAAAATAAACATTCATAGTAATTTCAAGTAAAATGAGCTGCATTTGTTTTTTTTTTTCTAAATTCTTTATTTGAATAACATTTCTTAATACATGATACAAATAAAACGAAATTCAAAGACGAAGAAAATATCTATTCATACGCAGTAGCTCTCAATATTAATAAGAAATAAGTTTACCATCATGATTCATATTGAATTCATCGATTTATTTGCTTTTAAAACTCAAGAATGTATCTCATCTCACCTTCTTTCTTTCTTTTTTTTGTCTAAAGAAGCATATTACATTCGTTTTCTCTATTTACCATTGTGATCATTGGTAGCATACATCTATTATCATCATCATCACATATACATATATACAGGAATGAATGTGTGTGTACGTATGTCTCAGTTTTAATTAGACAACATAAAGATGTTTGCCTATCAAAGATTGAAGTGTGTGTGTGTGTGTGCGTCTGAAAAGGAATATTAACAGTAGCAGTTCCTTTTTTCATCATTGAAAATGAGAATGTATGAATGAATGATAAGATACATACTCTCTCTTGAAAGACAAATACACGCCCTTTCTCTTTCTCTTTGTCCACCTTACTGTCTCTATGTATTTCAAGAACATTTTCTGAACAAACATAATGGGGCGAAAATGCAAATTGACACGAAAAAAATATATATATACGGTATAAGAGAAAATGATAGTTATTTAGTATTCTCAGTTTCAATAGTCGACTATCAAACATATTCAAAATGGATTGGAGACAATACGCTACGTCATTCTGGGTAAAAAACCTTTTTTCTAAGTTTTATTTAGAAATTAAGGATTCAAAAAAGAAACACATGCAGATGTTGATATTTCTCTAATTTCTAAGGAATAGTTTTATATATGTTAAGATGTCTTCTCTTACAAGAGACACTCAATGGATTAATCGCTTTTGAGTCAGAGCTATGTGCAGCATGTAGACTTTGATGAGTTATGAATATTCTGAAAGAAGAGTTCGGATCCTTAGCTTATTGTTGTCGAGATACTACATTCTTACAGTAGTTTCTAAATGAATGCCGTAGTCCTCTCATTAGGAAAACTGATTTACGAATTTCGATTTGAAGCTTTGCATTGCGACACATTAGTGAGAGCAATTTATTATGAAGGTTACAGACCTTCAATTTGCTTCTATCCTAAAATAAGAATATCAAATTTGTTAGAGTGTCTCAATGGAAAGTTTCAATGCGCAATTCGAAAATCAATTTTTCTGATATTCTTCACGAGAACTACTGCATTCAATTAACAAATTCTATTAAATATGCAACATTTTCAGAGTAACAAAGTAAGAGCCAGAACTCTTCTCAAGATATTCATAGTTAAGGATGTGCAGTTTTGGTCAAGCTACTGAAACAATGACTACACTGAATCAGGGCTCACTAAAGCATGAACACACCTATGCGTCAATAAACCATCAGTGTGAGTTTTTGAAGAACAGTTTACTGGAACTGCACATCCCTATTCATAATTCATTAGAGTCTACATGATGCACATAGTCCCGGCTATTGAATAAAATGCATCACTGTGTAGATGGCACTATTGAGCTGAGTATCTGCATTGTAATCAATAGTTAAGCGAAAAGTCTGAATAGTATCCAAATGATAGATGTAAGATGGTGGTTTCAATTGTCAATGGAGTTTTCTATCTAATACATTCTATAGCAAGATTTCTACAAAAATCGGACACAGTATTTTTCAAGTCCCAGAAAACTTTATCGGAGTTCTTATAAAGAACAAAAAATTCTGAACAAAATGCGACGACCTCTTATTTTATTCAGAACTTTGTGCTCTTTAAAATAACTTCGATGAAGTTTTATGGGATCTGAAAAAATTTAAACAAAAAACAAAATTTATTTTCGTTTATTGACGATTGCTTAATACAATCAAACACGTAATTTATCGAAGTTCAATTTGATTAGCGTAACTATTAGATTACTCTTGTTTGAAAAAAATTTTATCTAATCGACTTTTAAACTTTCAAATATTTATTTCAAGGAGCTCTTGAGGTTCTTTACTTTTGACAAAATCCCATAGGATATAACTTCATTTCATTTATCTAATTCAAAAAAGTTGTTATATAAGTAAATAGCTCATAGTGTCGCTTTCTTTGATCTTAATCAAAAGAAAAACAATTACATATTTTCTCTCTTTCTGTCTCTCTTCTAAACAGAATGATTATCAATTTATGGTTAATATGCAATTAGCGATGTATCAAATGTTAACAAATTTCGCCTCAAATTCAACACCACAACAAATTCCATCATTACGATTTCGTTCTCTTACTGATCATCAATCACCAATAATAAATCATCAAAAACCAATTAAACGTCTTAATCATAAACGACAACGATTGGTAAAAACTAATAATCCGACTAGTGAGTAATCATTATCTTTGATAACAACATATATACTCATGAGAATAACCCATCTGGATTATATTTGGTCACAATAAAAAAAAAAAAAAGGAAATGAATATTAATGATCTTTTCGATACCGTATTTATCGTCGATGATATTAATGGTAACCGTTTAAAAAAAAGCGAAGAAAAAAAAAGACGCGAGTCGTGTGTTCAATTCAGTTCACGTCTATTTGCTTTCTTTTCTTTCTGTGTTTCATATGTATATTGAACGATGGGAAAATTTCTCCAGACGCGTCAACAATGTTGACGAAGCATTGAGAAAGAGAGAGAAGAAAAGAAACAAAACAAAAAAAATATGATGTTCATTATATGCTCAACTTACTTCTTAAATAGGTAGTGGTGGAACAGCAACAACAACAATTAGTAATTTAAATATGCCAACATCATCAACATCACCCGATGGATATAATGCTCATTATAATGATGAAAGGTAAAATATCTCAAAAACAAATATAAATCCGAAAACGTTTTCTTTTTTGTCTCTTTTAGTTATGAAGAACTTGAACATCGGCCAGTAACACGAGAAATTATGGCTGCTTATTTATCAACACGTCGTCATCGTACAGTAACAATATATCATGCTAAAGTTGCACAAAAATCTTATGGAAATGAAAAACGGTGAGAAATTAAATTTGAAAAAAAAACATTAAACGTTAATTTTCTTTTTTTGATAAAGATTTTTTTGTCCACCACCTTGTGTTTATTTATCTGGTGATGGTTGGAATCAAGATTTAGAACAAGATAAGTTATGTACAATGATTGGTATTGGTGAACCATTATATCATAATGATAATAATGGTTCACCATCAGGTAATATAACACAATCAAGTGAAATGCAACATTTACCTTTTGAAAATGGAAAAGTAAGAAGAAGAAAAAAAAGGAATTTTAATTTTTAATATTTTGATTTTGTTTATTTAGCGATTTGGTGCAGCAAAAACTTTATTTATATCAGATTCGGATAAACGTAAACATATTAATTTAAATGTTAAAATGATTTATACAAATGATTTTCGTGATAATCCTTATATCGGAATGTTTGAAAGTCGAAAAATTAAAGTTATATCAAAACCATCAAAGAAAAAACAATCAGTTAAAAATGCGGAATGTAATTCATTATTATTAAATTCTTCTTTTTTCTTTATTTAATTGGTTTTTTTTTTTAATAGCAGTATGTATTCAATCTGGTACAAAAATTGCTTTATTTAATCGTCTTCGGTATGAATGATAGAAGAAAAATTATATAAATAGAAAAAAATTTTTTGTTGTTTCAGAAGTCAAAATGTTAGTACAAGATTTTTACATGTTGATGAAAAAAATCAATTTCATGCAAGTGCACATGAATGGGGATCATTTTATATACATTTAGTGGATAATGACGAACCATGTATGGAATCAAATAGTTTTTCAGTTAAAGAAGGTTTTGTTCAATATGGTTCAACAGTAAAACTTGTATGTTCAGTAACGAATCAGGCATTACCCTATTTGGTAAGTTTTGTTTTTGAGCTAATATTTACATTAGAAAAACGTGCTGTTGAAAAGAAGTGGTGTATAATTTCAAACTGATTCATGTTTATTAATATTTATTCCAATTATCTATTGATTTTAATAGAATTCTATAAAGAATATATTATGGCCTTTGAAGATTTTGTACGCGTTTTACAGAATCCAAAATTGAATGACAATTTCTAATAAATTGGATATTTTGTTAAGAAGTGATCTTTAGTCACTAAACAGATTAATGGCTGTTGGATGAGGCCCGTGTGCATTATGTAGGTCACAATGAGCTATGAATATCCTGAAAAGAGTTCGAGTCTTTAGCTTATTGCCGTCGAGATATTGCACTCTCACTATAGGTTTTAAATGAAGACCCTCGATTCCATCCGAAAGACTGATTTTTGACTTGAAAATTTGTCCGGAGCTAGATCTTGATAAGAATAGTTTATTGCGAAAGCACCAGCTCTTTCGATTTGCTTCTATACTGAAATAAACATATTGAGCTAAGCGATGTAAAACAATTGTGATACAATAGTCACCAGAAGTTTGACTATTGGGTAAAAAGTATGTAAACTTCAATTCTTTTGCGTGATATTTTGATTACAGACAGAACTTGATAACGTCTGATCGAATACAGCGATCCAAGACTGATAGGTATCATGCAAAGGATTTTCGATGAGAACATTGATTTTTCCATAGGATCGAACAAGTGGATTCTAGTATTCCGCTATTTAAATGCATTAACTTTGATTTTCTTATTAACAAATAAAAGTTTGCATGCATATATTACGTCTCAGCAAGGATACTTCAATTCACTGTAAATCTCTTGGGGTGCAGAAAAGCCTCATTGCCTGAGACAGCATCAACATTGGTTTCTTCTGTATTGATGACTACGATTGTTAGTTTCAGGCAAATGTTTAACATTAGCTGAAAAGATCGATAACTTTTCGACGATTCTCATAAACTCTTAGATAGAGATTGCCCAAGGGTTATTTCGTCAATTAGTCGATCTAAAAGTGTTTGGCATGAAATGTTTTTTTTCGTAACAGAAGCAGCATTGAACTGTCGCATCAGGATTCTAATGTCAGGAGAAGATTCTTTCTGAAGTTAATGTGATTCTAGGAGAGACCGAATGTTGTTCAGAACATTCATAATCAAAACAAAATAAAAATCTTGTTTTAGAAAACGAATAATTAGTATATCATTTTTTTCAGGTTATTCGAAAAGTCGATAAAAATCGAGTATTATTAGATTCCGATGAACCTGTTTCACAATTACATAAATGTGCATTTGAATTTAAAAATGGACCATCATCATCATCGAATTTAGTTTATTTATGTCTAGCTACTGAACGTATTGTTGGTATTGCGGTACGATTTTTTGTTTTATTTTGAAAGAAAAATTATGCATATCATTATTTTAGGGTAAACCATGTCCGAATGAACGTTTTCGTGTTGATATTAATGATTCAGCATGTTGGACAATTATATCAACTGATAAAGCTGAATATACATGGTTTGAAGCTAGAGGTCCAGTGTCACATCCAATTACACCTGTACCAGTTGCTAGACATATTGTTGTATGTATTTGATATTAGTAATTTATCTAATAAGATTATTATATTGTTTTATTTATTATGATAGGTTGATGGTGGTGGCGCAGCTGCAACAATTGAATTAACTGGAGAAAATTTTGCACCAGGTTTATCAGTATGGTTTGGAGAAACGGAATCACCATGTACAGATTATCGGTATGTTCTTAATTTTTTTTGTTTTGATATAAAGTAGATGTTTTTGTTTTTTTGGTAATTAGATCAACACAAACAATTGTTGCTGAGGTACCTCAGTTTTCATCAGTAATGCCAAATATGCCATGGGTTCAACGTTCTATATCAACTCCTATTTCTCTTGTACGTCGTGATGGTATTGTGTATTTAACATCATTAGTTTTCACATATACACCACAACCAGCACCTGCTCGGAAAAACTCACCATCACCAAGTGCTATTCTTCCTCCGACGTCTGACAATAATTTTTGTGAATAAGAAATTAAAAAAACAATCTTTCTTTTTTTTTGTGTTTTATTCTACATGCTTGTTGATTTTCCTTTTTTTTTTTTTTTGTATACAAAAGAAATATTACTTATAAAGAAGAAGAAGGAGGAGGAGGAAATTTTGTTTGTTGCGAAAGCATTTTAAATGTTGATCGACCACTTTTGCCAACATAGGAAAGCCATGATACTCCTGTTGAAAGTGCAGATAACATGTAAATTACGGACATCCAACCAGTGTTATGATAATCGAAGATTGGTGCTGCTATACATAAAGCTAACAGACCAATTTGAACACCTGTGTTTACCTAAAAGGACATTTAATTGATTATTTATAGTTTGTATAGTAAAAAATAGATTGTAAAGTTTGTTGAGTTATTTTACTGAGAAATACGTGTGATATATGTTCGGCAATGTGTGAATTTAAATGTTTTCCAATAGATAAAATGTATTTCACATATCCGTCCTAAAATAGTCACTTTGAAGGCGGAATTATTTTTCAATCGAAAATTAATGCTTGAGCCTAGTTTAAAAAGGCGCAATGATAAGATTAATAACCTGACAGCGACAACAGCTAACGACCTGCAAGTTTCAAACATCAAAGTAGAAAAGCTTTGGACGTCTTTTTGTCTGATACAATCTAACGAGGGAACTCATCCGACTAGTAATCTTCGTTTGAGTTCCTATTTTGCTCAAAATGAGAACCTGTAATATACATAAAAATTCAGAAAGAGGTTCATGCCATTAGAGCTTTCTTCTCGAGTTATGATCATTTTACTGAATTTTTAGCTATTTTCAGGATATCATGAGAAAAACCACGACAAGAGGCTTCAGTCTGAATGACTTCTCGAAAATAGCTCTTATAGCACTTTGTGGTATCCTGAGGGTTTCAACTCACACGGATGTTTTCTTTTCGAGGTAACATGTATGTAGGAAACATTTCTTATTATGCATGCAATATCTTAAGAAGGAATCATTCGTTTGAGTCGAAACTTTCAAAATATCATAAGGATCATGAGATCTATTGTTCGGTGAGATTTTAGATGAAAATTTCTTGTTGCAGGCTTTTTCGTAATATCTTGCTATAGGCTGAAAATTCAGTAAAATAAACAAAACTTGAGAAGAAAGACCTAATGGCACGAATTTTGTTTAGACTATGAGTCCATTCTATGAAAAAAAAGGTAAGCTTAAACGAATGTTATCAGTTGAAGAGGTTTCCTCGTTAGAAGTTATCAAAGAAAAAGCCGCTCGGACTTCTTCTCATTCGATTACTGAAAATAGTAGGTCGTCGTTAGCTATGATCATTGTTGAGTGATTGAGACTACATTCACCACTCTTCGTGTATAGCACAGATATTAGTTCATCAATGGATTTGTTGTATCTGACTGAAAATGAAAATAAGAAAATATATCATCATTAACGTACTGAAGTCAGGATATTCTCTTTTACACTTTGAATATCCTGCTACCAATATCTTTCAGGAACTTTTCAGTAATTAGGTATTTGTTGGATACCTAAGTATTCGGATTTAAAATACTTCTCAATGATCATTGGACTAATCTATGAAATCATTTTTAATACAAGACGCTTGAGGACATGCAAGTACACACTTTGAATACTGAAACATTCGAACGATTTTCAGCAGAATACCCGTTGATATCCCTAGAGTATACTAACAGGAAAGTATCTTTCATAAACTTGTCCGAGTATCCTAAACTCAACATTTTCACTAGAATATTCATGACATGAAAAATGGATGCAATCTACGATTTGTGTGGTCTGAAAAGGTATAATAATTCAATGTAAAGCAAACATTGGTTTTTCTACTGGAACGACAAGTGATACAGCATATGTATCACCGACTCAAAAAGAGTTAGATAGTAGAATAATAATTTTTAACCGGAGTTCAGACTCCTTTAATTTGTTTATTTTTATTTGTTCGTCTTAAAATTCTTCTTTTTTTCTCTCTCTTTAAAATTTAATTGAATTTATCTAATTAAATCTTGAAGAATTTTTCTCGAATTGATATATGAATAATAATCTTACATACTTTACTAACAAATGTTGGATAAAGTTGTACAGTAGCATTTTTCATATTTAAAATTTTCTTTAATGTTCTTGGTGGTGGAACAGATTTAACTCGAAGATAACCTGCAGCACACATTATCGCAACATCACGACTTAATATTAAAGCAAGAAGCCATAAAGGTATAAGATTAACATAAGCAAGTGATATAACAATAAAACCGACAAGCATTTTATCAGCAAATGGATCAAGAAATGAACCTAATGCAGATGATTGTGATGGATAACGACGTGCAATCCATCCATCAATTAAATCAGTTAAACCTGATATTATAAAAAGTGATAATGATATTGAATAATGATGATTTATAATTAAATAACCAAGTATTGGTGATATACCAATACGAGCAAATGTAAGAATATTTGGTATTGTCCATACACGATCAGATTTTTGTTGGTCGGATGATATCGATGAGAGTGATTTACATTGAAAAGAATATTCTGTACGAGGAGCAAGAAATTTGGATGATAACTGAATAGGATATTGTTCTTTTTTAGATGCTACTAAACGAAATAGACAAGAACGACATTGTAGATTTACTGTAAATAATGAACGACGAAATATTAATTGTCCAAGTATTAACATCTAAAAGAAAACGTCAAAAGAAAACGATAAAAATTTTTTTTTGTTCTCGCTTTGTCATATTATCAAAAATCGATTTTTATTTGCGTAACAATCCTATTTGTAATTTAGATGTTTTTTCTACACATCGAATAGTTAATGAAATTCTTGTTGTACGTTTTAATATTTGCTCATCTTTATCTTTAATGTTATCACTACATCGATCAAAATTAGTTATATTCTCTCGATTAATTATATCTTCTTGACGTTCTTCAATACCATGCAAGTAATGTGAATACATATCATCTTTAACCATAAACAAACTACGTGGTTCAAGAAGAACTCGAGCAACACAACGATCAGAAAATGATGAAACATCCTAAATAAACAAATAAATAAATAGATATTTATCAACAAGAATTGCAAATAATTGTTTTTTTTGATAATTTGAGAAAAAAAATCATTAGGACAATTTCTGCGGAACTAAAATGTGAAACACCAAATAGTTATTGTTGCTAATCAGCGAGAGATTATTTTATTCAATCTATTTTAGGATGCATTTCTTCACCTTCCTTTTACTTAATCCTTCAAAAATGCAACAAGCAAGTGGTGCATACTATATTATAATGAGATTTATTCATATACGGTCCTTGATTGCATATCAACAACGTCTGTCACCACCATCTGTGACGCAGAGAAAAAGTATTGCCAAGATGTCTATGACGGTTAGAGCTCGTCAGGTCCGAAACCAACCCACGAGCTCTTGTGGCAGTCTGTTATGAAGGAATGACGTTACTAGGGATGTCTTTAATAATCCATTTTTAAAGTGTCTGTGACGATCTTCTATCGGTCGTATCCATAATATCCTGTCAATGGAAACCGATGCAAATTTCTACCCCATATACATGTACTTCAACGTTGCTGTTAGATTGTGCTTCACAAAAATGATTACATAGATTACAGAGGAGTCATTTATGGGGAGGACGTTGGACGTGACCCCAGGCTCCTTTTGAGAATGCTCAAGGCAGTGCTCTTTTTTCTATGGCGCAATCACTCTGCACTCTCCTTGGTGCCAGTCGTGAGTTATGCCTCAGATAGATTGCGAGAAAATTTTTATTCAAAATGAACAAGTATTTCGAAAGTGAAATATTTTAATCCTATAACAAATTGCTAATAAGAAACGAAAATGTATGTTCTCTAAATGCCGAGCTATAGTAACTTGTTGATACCATATTTTTATTTCTTTTGTATTCCAGTGTGGAAATATTATAAAGAGCTAATTCTTCTTGTTGTTTTTAATAGATAGTCCATGATCTCATCTAGAAATTTTATTTATAAAGTATTTCAATTGTACAAACTCAAGTGCTTTTAAATCTAAAACATAACTAATGAGCGAAAGATCTTTTGGTACTTTTCTAACAACCCATATTTTGTTTTTCTCGAACAAAAGAATATTCTAAATTCATATATGTCGATAAATAGACCATTCCAAACTCTATCGATTGTATTTAAAATAAAACAGTTAATTTCATTTGCTGCAGATTAATAAAATATTTTCAGGCGTCAAAATCTTCAATTTTTCTAGTGACCATTTCTGTTATCTCGCATACTCATGATAGTATGATCACTTTATGTTTCAAAAAGTATCTTTTAATCTAGTTTTATAAAGTCTTGTGTAAGTTTCCTAATGCACATTTTGATATTTTCTTTGTTCTTGACAATTTCAAGCCTAAATCAGCCACAGAATTTTGTGAAACTCATGTATAATTTTCGGAGGAGAAAAGTGAGTGTAAATTTTAATCTCCGATCGGCGCTTCCATGATCCAATCCTACCCGAATAGGACACTGCTAGCAAAGGGAAGTTCAGAGGTAAATGAGTACGCTTTGCCTATAAAACGAAGATAACAGGCTTTAGACTTCTTTTCCATAGTTCCTTAGCAACGAAAAAAGTGTTCAGCGATATTAACAGGAAGGCTTAGGTTTTTCTAGAACATTTCAAATAGTGTAGTTTCTGATTTTTTTCATAACTAAGCCATTATATGTTCGATGTCAAGAATAATACATAGTGTCGTACTAATTCACTATATTCATCATATGATCAACGCAAAAAGCATGAACTGATCAAGTTATAACTTTCAGAATTAACCAATACCAGTGTTTCCGAATTTATCGAGATGTATAATAACGAATTGAGATTTACTGTGGATATAATGAACCTGCACAAAAGGCTTAATTATCAGTTAAATCAATGATTAGAATAACAATAATATGATATTAAGTAAAATGAAATACAAGAAAAAGAAAAATAACGAGCGAATAGCAACAAGGCAGATAGAAAATAAAGTACTAGTAAAAGAAGAATTCTATTCAAAGTGCAGTAATAAATAAGACAGACTGTTTCTCTTATGATCAATTATCCTCGGAAAACAACTATTGACAACTCGAGATGTTTTACTTCACATATTTTATATTAATATAATGATGCTAAAGTACGCACACTCACACCCACCCACATCCTACTCTCAATGATATTTCTCAATCGGAACTGGATAGTAACCATGAAGATACGAGATACTTTTTTCTGTTTTTTGTATTCGGTGATAGCGCACCCTACACATTTCTCAGACAGTCCCGACGATGATCTTATAATAATCAAATTTTAATTAGCTATTTCTTTTAGACTATAACTCATTGGATTGATCAAGAATCCAGACTTAGCCGAGTTCGAGTTCAACCCGATGGACTCTATTATTTAAACACTATTTGATTTATTCAAACTAATTCTAATCTCACCTCTTTATTATTACTATCAATCGGACGGTAAAATTCAATAACAGTATGTGATTGTAATGAAATAGTTGTAACAATCGGATAATAAACAGGTCCATCAGTATGTGGCATAATACCTTGACCTGCTTCATATTCATTTACTAGACAATGATTAAATTGAAATATATTATCAGGAAATATTGTTTGATTTCCGAGTTTAAGAATTCGTTCAGTATATGGTTCTAACCATTTCGGTAATGATTCAGTTTGAATCATTCCTTTAGCATGTGGTTGTCCACCCCAATTTTGTAAACGACGATTACGCAATTGAACCCAACGTGTACGAGGTACATTATTAACACATGACAATAGATATTCTTCTTCTTCAATCGTTATAAAATTTGGTATATAGTAAAGAGTATCAGGTACATTGGTTAATTTATAAATTTCCATGAGAATGAAAAAGAAAACTAGAAATATCACAATTATTAGAAATCTTTTCTATTTGTAAAAGAAATGAAAATATAAACATTCAGTTTTTTTTTTCAATACAATTGTAATAAATGATGCACTGTAACGGATTTCAATTAACAAATAGAAAAGAAAAAAAAAACATTAGACAAAACTATTATTCAAAATGAAAATTTGTCATTTGATTTTCATGTACATGTCGATGGTAATAACACTTCATTTGTCGTTGCTTGAGTAACTATACAATAGAAAAAGAAAAGCAAATAAGGTAAATTCAAGAAAATCTTTCACAAAACAAATTCTAACTTTGATCAAAAGAAGGGAATGATAAACTCCTCGGTTCCTTAAAAGTTTCTTTTTGAATCGATGATTTAATTATAGTATATCAAGTAACTAATGCGAGCATTTTTAGATAAAACAAATAGAGAAAGAACGTGAAAAAGGGTGCGGCTGTAGTTGTTGAAAATTTCTTCCCCTACACGCACATTCTTGATGTACTAAATGTCACGTGAGATTATAACATGCATAATACTTTGCCATGAAGGTCTAATACTATATTTTAGTTTCGATCTTATCTTAGGTACTATGGAAACTACTGTTTTTCAAAGCAGGACTTGGCCTATGACACGCTTATTCTCATGCTATCGAGTTTAAAATTTAATTCTGAACAAAACGGTATGATTATTAAACTGAAGAGTTGAAACATTGTGCTATATTGAATTAAAAAGAAACAATGATGTAATTGTGTCAGAAAAAAAGGATTTTCCGTTTTTTTTTAAATTATTGACGTCAAAAATTTTTCTCGTGTATATCAAAAGATACAGAATTCTATGAAGAACTTTGTAGCATATTTGAAGTTTCAACGAAACCTTCATGAAAAATTTTTCGTTCGTTTTTTGGTTTTTAACCATCGCAATTAGACGATGGAATAGGTGTTGATCATGTAAACTTGTGCTAACAAAAAGTATTCAAAAAACAAAAAACAATGGTTTTGTAGAGCAGAAAATTCTCTATTGAATGAGCCTAAAACGAAGTACATAATGTGCTATAAAAAGAGGAAAACATTTTGTCCTGTAACTTAATCAATTAGAGTTTATGACGTCTATAGATCGAAGACTGTTGTTTTTAAATAAACTCAGTCTCGAAACTTTTTGAAGGTTCCTCGAGTAAAATAATGGAATCATATCATTTAAAATTTTGAATTCCGTTTTCAATAACTCCAAAATTGATTATATATCATTTTTAGATACTAACTTTCATAAGAACGCATTTCTGTATTTGATAATTTTTGTCGTCGAATAAATATTTTTCTTTGTTTTTCAATTTTTCTTAAGGCACTTCTTAAATTGAAAAATACTTTTTGACATTGACGCATACGATCTTTAAGATGAGTTAAACGATTATCACCCGTTAGATTACTATCTAAAATAATAAAATAAATGTATATTTTTATCATAGCAAAATAAAAACAAAAAACATTTATCTTACTAAGATCAAGAAAATTATAACGACTTGATTGATGCTTAAACATATCTTCTAATTGTTGTCGTAAAGTTGCGTTCATTGGTGAATTCAAATGAGAATCTTCATTTTCGTTGTCTATATAATTAATAAAATACAATAAAAAAAAAAAAACGAAAATAAAAATCTCAAATCTACCTTGTTGATTAACTGTTCTTTTTCCGACTCGTTTTCCTACTGTTCGATATCGTCTGACTTTAAATACAAAAAAGTAAAACAACGTAAAACAATAGAATTTTATTTCATAAAAATTTGACAAACTTTCTAATGATTGCTGTTCACTTGGTATTGGACTATGATCATTGTTGTTTATACAATCAATATTGAAATTACTATTTATATCTGTCTCGAATCGTGTTCTTCTCTTTGTACATATAGATGGATCTTGTGCATTATTCGGATCACGGAATGTTCGTCGTTTTTGTTGACGTGTAGATATACGGCGATTATCAGGAGTTAAGTTAACCGTGGAAATACATGGAAGAGAAGGAGCTATTGATTCGATTAAAACAGATGTTGACTGTTCAGTAGTTGAAGATGTATTGATAAATTCTTCTTTAGCTTCTAATGGATTTGGCAGACTAACAACGACAAATAATATCGAATGATAAAATGAGAGAAACAAAAAAAAATGAAATTTACGTGTCCGACGTTGGAAGAATATTCTCAACATTGATAGTTAATATTGAATCAATATTGTCAATGAATATTTCTTTTTCAGGAATTATTTCTTGGATATGATCATCTTCATGAATTGATTCATTATCATTATCATCAATAGATTCAAATGCATTAGCGATATTTATCGATATTGTATTTTCATTATCATCAATTGAAATTGTATGTTGTTGTGGTTCTATTGGTTCATCAGTTGAACTACTTGATGATATACATGTAGGTCTAGAAAAATATCGATGAGAGAATGTAGTTTACAATAGATTTGAATTCTTATTTCTTTTTCGATTAGTTCTTCTTGTACATTTATCTAACATTTAAATGGAAAGTAACATGACCAATATGATATATCGGAAACAAAGTTAAGTATTCGTTCAAGTTTCATATAGCAAGATGTGTTGAATAGAAATATTAACAATATTCTTTCTTATGAGAGAACATCGTCAAGAAGACATGCTGACAACAAATTATTTTGGAGAAAATCAAAAAGGAAAGACCTTTGAATTGAAATTTTATTGATAGGTATGTTTGATAGTCATCAGATAGTCCTGAAAGTTTCAACGAAAGCAAATGTATTTTGCTTGAGATATTCAATTTTCAAAACAAAAGTCGAGATTTACTATAGGAGGGCCCAGCAATCGAGTTTGCCATTGCTTATCTCAACAAATACACACTCGTTTTCGTTCTTTCAGGATCTTATAAGAATTGTCAGAACTATTGTCAGAACGAATGACAGATCGAAACTCTTTGTTGCGATATATTTTGGTACAGGCTGCAGGTTCAGTAAGATGACCATAACTTGAGAACAAAGGCTTAATGATACAGACCTTTTCAGTATTCTCATCGGCACTATGAGCTCGAACTATGTGTAAAATATGAGCTCAAACGAAGATTAGCCACTTTCAAGCGTGTCTTACGAGAGAAGTTTTCCAGCTGATAAATCGATTTTGAGCTGAGACTATGTGTACCATGTAGATTTAAATGAGTTATGAATACCCTGAAAAGAGGTCGTACCATTAGCTTATTGCTGCAGAGATACTGCACTTTCAAAGTATTTTTTAATGAATGGTTTAGTATTAAAAAAATTGATTTTGGAATGTCAACTTGAAAATTTGCATAGAGACAGGCCTTAACAAAAACAGTTTGTTTTGAATGTTTCAAATTTTGCTGCTGTTTCTACTGTAAGGTACAATTATCGTGATAGCGTGCCTTTTACATCACCAGTATCTCGACAGCAATAAAAATAAAGAGTTTGAACTATTTAGTCTCACTGAAACCAACTCGTAGTCTTAATTTGAAGTCGAAAGGTGTGCGACAGTTGAGTAGATTCTCTCAAATAATATATATAACGATGATTTTGAACGTAAGTGTATTTAACTTACTCAACTTCTTGATTATTCGATTCATTAATTTGATTAGTTGATGAACACGAAACAATGGTATCTTCATTTGAAGTTACTATCTCCAAACTTTTCCATACTAAACAAGAAAAAAATTAACTCTATGCTATATGTAATTAAATTTTAAATGAATTACTTCCGTTATCTTGATCAGTTGAATTCATTTTGTTTTCTTCTGTGTCTTGATTATTTTCTTCTTCATTATCTTCAACATTTGATAATATTGAACTTATATCAATAATTATTTCATTTTCACTCGAATCTATTTCATCTTGACGTTTAATTACTCTATCAAGTTCGATCCATTCTTGATATCTAAAATTATTTATATTTTATTAAAAAAAAAAACAAATAAACATTTTTCACTTGGAATCCAATCCATTGTAATGAACATATAATTCTTTATTATTATTATTTTTTTCAATACATCGTCCATAATATTGTTGTTTCCCATTAAAATCCCATTTTATAAGTAATATATCATTTACAAGTATGTCTTCATATGTTAATTGAGTATTGGAATTATTTGTAGATATACAATCGTTTGTTAATTGATTAGTACTATTTAAAAAATAAAGAAATAATAATTTCTTTGATGCTTTATTTTCGAAAATAGAAGAAAAAAAATTTACTTTATTATTTCATTACTATTTTGAGATGACATTGACCGTCTCGCACGTTTAGATGGAGATAATTGTTCATCTATTTTATCATTGAACTCAAAATTGTCATCGGAATATGATCGTTTAGTTGAATTGGTTTGAGAATTTTCAATCTCGTTTGTTTGTTGATTAGTTATTGATGATGATGGAATTAATGTTTGAAATATCGAAGGAACTGCAAGGACATTTATTTTTGAAGGACACATACACAAAAAGAAACATGTGATCTGAACAAATTCGTTTACCTGATGTATCATCATTTCGATTATTGATACTTTCTATAGTAGTAAAAAGTGAAGGTAATGTCGGCGATTCGTCTTTAACTGAAGGTGGTGGTGATGGTGATACGGGCGTTACTGGTAATACTGTTATATTTTGTAATTTAGTTTCTTTGGTTGATTCTGAAACTGATTGGCCAATTACAGGCTGTGTATGAGCTTTTGATTGTTGTTTATTGGAATTAACTAAAGAAAATATTATTTTTATATGAATATAAATTGTTCCTGTCAAAAATATTTTCGATAATATCAAAGAGAAAACTATTTTTGTTTTGACGTTTTAACCTTTAAATGGAATCTGAATAATGTGCAAGTTAGAAATCTTGAATATGTGATAATAAAAAGAGAACAATTTTCTTGTGTTATATTCAATGTTCGATTTGGAAAAATCAAGGTTACTTTGTAATATCCAATTTGAAAATCTTCTAAAGATCCACTCGGAAAAA